AACATTGATATTATAGGAGATGGTGATAGATTGTCTTCAGTTGGACTTTGCCTCTGTTTGGAAAGTGGGTTGATTTTTTGATTTTTTGACTTTTTTGACTATATGAGCCTGAGCTCAAAAGCTTAGTTTGGGAAGGGCTTTTGGCTTTTTGACTTTTTTAATTTTTTTGTGAGAGAAGAGTATAATGATTATGGGGTTGGATGGGATGTTTTGTCTGTTGTGACTCATGAGCCAATTCTGTCTTTTATGGCTCATTGAGCCAATTCTGTCTTTTATGGCTCATTGAGCCAAAAAAGCCCAATGAGCCCTTGCCAAACCAACCCTTTGTGGATTGGAAATTCTAATTGGAACCAACAATCCTTCTATGATGATTTGTTGGGGGTAATTATGCACGAGACCTCTTTTAAGGTTAGTTCCTGGGATATTTTTCTATTATAATAAGTCTTATTGTTTTTGATATTTAATTCACAAAATCTTAATTTTCATATTTAAAATATTTTATAAATAATTTTATCTTTAACAATTTGGTAATCTGAATATTTAAAATATTTTATAAATAATTTTATCTTTAACAATTTGGTAATCTGAACATTCATATTTAACGGTATGAATGTTCACATTGATAATGTGAATGTTTATATCGTGAAACATTTACATTATCAACGTGAATATTAATGCGCGTTTCATCATATTATTATTAGACATATTTTGATAATTATGTCACCCATATAATTTATTGAAATATAAAAAAAATAATTTTAATTAAGTGAAACATAAACTTGTGCATAATTACCTAGGTTTTCATGTATAAATTTATTCATATTATAGATTCATGAAGAGAAAAGAAAAAAAAAAATAGATTAATTTGATAATTGTAATCAAATTATTTCATCAAATTTTTTTTTTAAAAAAAAAGAAAATGAATGATAATTATGATTTAAAAAAATAAACCATCTATAAATGAAATAATGCGAGCATGATAACTAGGTCAAGTTGATTTTTTTAAAATAATTTATACATCAAAATTTATAGAATAAATTAATAGAATTATTAAAATATAACCGATAATAAACCCACAGCATTTCATCCACAAAGTTCAATTGAAGACAATCTTCAGACAAGATTAGAAATTAGTTAGACTTCTCTAATACTTATATCTCAACTAGAGAGAACGAAAGAAAAATTATTCAATACTCTCGGAAGCAATACTTTATTCTATTTACAAATTATCACTTAATCAGCTGTTTCTTAAAATTTTAACACAAAGCAATGGGTCCTGTAGATTAGACCAATAACTACTACTTTGGAGCACCATTAGGATTTGCTCTTAGAGCGTTGAATGATATCTCAAGAACTTGAGTGGTTACCGGTCCCATTTCAATAACCGTTCATTTTGTAGAGTTTTCTATGTAATTCGTGAAAAAAAATTAGTTAATTAGATAATTGTGACATTTTTATTTTATCCCATTTGTCTTTAAAAAAATATCAAATATATTTTTAAAAATAGACCATTAATTTATTTTGGAGACAAATACAATAAAATAAAAAGATTACGATTATCATATTTAACTAATTTTTTATTATAAATGATATACATTAAAAACTCTACAAAATAAATAATTTAAATTATCAAAATAGAACCCATAGTAAACCCTACGAGGCCCTCTAATTCTCTCATGTTAGAAATGTGAAAATGAAAAAAACCAAACCTATTAAAAATTATATGTACTTAATATTGGTCAAAAATTAGAAAGAGTAATGATAGGGATATCAAATTTTCTATCAAATAAATGACTAAATGTCTCACCTAAGTGTAAAGTCTACAATTTTATAGACCCCATATCTATATAAGATATTTAATCATTTATTTAGTAAAAAATTTGAAGTATAACATTTTTCAATTAGAAATTATATGTAGTTGAATATAGTCGGGTTGAAGTCCCAGACACGGAAGGACCAATCAAACTCCACTAATAGACAAGTCAAATTCAAAATGGAAAAGTTCTGGTCGTTCGCTGATTCTTCGAGTCGCATCAATGTGAATGCAATATGCATAGCTCCAATGAGTAAAGAAAGAAAAATCTTACACCAAACGTGTCGAAAACACAATCTATACAAATCCAAAACCAACAAACACAAACACGCCCTTTCAGTTATACAAATAACTAGTATATCACCCGTGTTATGTATGGATTATGTTTATAATTATTTATATATGTGAATTATGATTTTTAAATGTTCTTTTTTTTTTTAAATGTCTTTGTTTTCCCCTTTTTTATATTATATTAAAGTTTAATATTTTGATAATAATCATATGTATTGAACTTTTAAAAGAATTAAATGTCTTTTTTCTTATTATTATATTATATTAAAGTTTAATATTTTGATAATAATCATATATGTTGAACTTTTCAAGAAATTTGTTTTATGCTTGTTCTTAATGCATTAAAGTGTTATTATGAGGGATAATAATCATATGTGTTGGGACTTTTCAAGGAATTCATATGTATTGGATTTCAAAGAATTTTTTTTTATGCTTGTTCGTAATGTATTAAAGTATTATTATGATGGTAAGACTTGGGAGTGGGGAGAAGTTAATAAATGTTAAGATTTTTAAAAAAAAAAAATCAAAAAATCAAGAAATTTAGATTGAGAGATTGAAGCTCCCACAAGGCTTAGGGTTAAAAACCCCCTTTTACTTAATATATAGTATAGATTATGGATGTGCGTGATGCAGTTCAAATAATTTGATAGTAAAATTATAAATTAAATAATAGATTGACAGATTAATAAATCATAATTTGAATGGTTTTGGACGGATTAGTAAATTAAAAAATATTCTAACAAATTATCAAATATTTGTATAAGAGTGCTTTGGAAAGATGGTTAAAAGCTAACTTTTATCTTTTAACTAAATTTTTTTGTTTTTTTCGAAAGTAATTTGAGAAGTTGATAAAAAGTTACTTTTGACTTTTTTTTATTAATATTTATTTATAATGTCTCATCACAATAAAATAATCAAAATACTCCCACTCAATTTAGCAAATTTCACTCATATGGCTCATTTTGCAAGTGAAGGGTAGTTGATGTAATTTCACATGTTGCCTTTTGCTACATTCCCAAATGGTTTGTTGCCAAAAAAAACCCAAGCTATTGGTTGTGTTTTGAATAGGGGTGTAACTTGGGCGAGCTCAACCCGAGCAATCCGAACCCAACTCGGATTTTTTTAAGGCTTGGACAAGATATTTTCAAATTCGGTACAAGCTTAGGTAAAAATTCAAAAATTCGAATTAAATTTGGACGGGTTTAGGCAAAGACATCAAATAACCCGAACAACCCGAAGCCCAAATTATACATATATAGTTATATATAAAATAATTTAGATTATTAAATCATATTGAATTTATATTATATATACAAATAACATAAAATCTTACTTTTTTTATTTTTACTCATAAATTGTAAAGACTACTATAGCGACATCCCTCTTACATTATATAAATTATTTGTTTTGATGGTATTAATGATTTTCTATAAATATATATATATATATATATATATATATAAATAGAGTCAAATTTTAATAATTTAATAATATAGCTGCAAAAAATATATATGTATATATATTATTTACAATTCGGGCAATTTGGGTTTAACTCGGGTCGAGCTTGGACTGACAACCTTGGGTTATAATTCGGGCTTGGACAGGTCTGGGCAGGTCTTAGCACAATTTGGACTGAACTTGGACAATCTCCCAATCCGACCCAACCCGTTCGAGTTGCACCCCTAGTTTTGAAGCTGCAAAACGCAACTTTTTAGTTGGTTCCCAAATCACCCCATAATATATAATACTAATTTACATAATATTTTATAAGACAAATTATACTAATGGTCCCTATAGTGTGAGACTCATGTCACTCTGGTCTGTAACTTTTCAATTGTGACACATTTAATCTTGAACTTTGAATCTTGTTCCAAATACAAACAATTGAAGATACCATTGCTTAATTTCAAAGACAAAATCGTCAATTTGATAACATATAAACTAATTTGATAAAAATAAACGCCAAAAAAATATTTTTAAATTTTTTAAAATTATTTATATATGCTAAAGATAAAATTATGTAAAATTGATATATCTTTTAGACATTTATTTATTCATTTATTTTACTAAATTAATTTTTATTATGTGTTTAGATAATAATCATGTAATAAGTGGTTGTTTTTATTTTCATCAAATTAGTTTCTATTTTTCCAAAAGTCAAATATGACGACAACTTTTATATCATTATTAAACAATCCATTAAATTAAAAAATCCAAAACTAAAAAATTTCATATGTTATATATATCGATTACACACCATCTATTGTATAATCATCATCCAAACACATAATAAAAATTAATTTGGTAAAATAAATAAATAAATAAATGTTTAAACGATTTATCAATTTTACATAATTTTATCTTTTTTGAGTAGAAATAATTTTAAAAAATTAAAAAATATTTTTTTGACATTTATTTTTATCAAATTAGTTTATATTTTATCAAATTGACAATTTTGCTCTTGAAATTAAGCAATAATATTTTCAATTGTCCTTATTTAGAATAAGATTCAAAATTCAAGATAAAATGTGTCATAATTAAAAAGTCAGGGACCAAAGTGACACAAGTCTCAAACTACAAGAATTGTTAGTATAATTCGCCATAATTTATATATATATCACAAATTAATTTTACATAATAAGTTTCATACATATAACTATTAATTTGTAACAAATTTCACATTTTAAATCTTTTCTACACTCATTCTTACTTTGCTATTTCATTAAAGGTTAAAAAATATGTGTGTATTAACTATAACGGAGCGAAATAATTTGAAATGTAAATTATAAATTTTAAAGTTTAATCTGTAATCACTGAATAAAACTGTACAAATTAATACAAATTAATAAAATTTTAATAGATTAAGCAATATTTTACACAATCCTAGTAAAAAAGCTAAATACAAAATGATTCATAAAAAATGTAATGCGAGCTGAGACTAAACCCAGTTTATGGAGGGACCCATCTTCAGAATAGAGATAGGCTTCTCTCCGATCCGAGATAAGATTAGAGCATGTTGTGTTATTGGGTCTATGGGGACTCATCATGAGTCTTGTTTCGATGATACGAACTGTTTGATGTGTAGAACCCATCGAATACTTTATTTTAACAAAAAATCGTGTTAATCGGATACCGATAACGACGTGATTAAATCATATTTCTGTCAACGGTAAATATGATTTTTAAAATAAATTATTGATAAAAATTTAATCCGATCAAATAGCTATTCGATATCCAATCAACATAATTTTTTGCAGGCATAAAATAATCAACCAACTCTACATATTTTACGGTTAAGATTATCGAAACAAGACCGGTAATGAGTCTCATAAGCCCAAACAGCACGGTCTAGTCTACTATGTAGGCTGAAGAGAATCTGAATAAATGACTATATCTGTATTTTAATCTTGTGTTCTTAACATTAGTTTTTGCCTTGACCGACTCTTCTTCATCTGACCGTCCCATTCGTTTCGCTTCCTCCTCCTTCCTCTCCCCACTCTTACTCTTCATTGTTTTGCTTACTCTTTGACACTCAGTCACTGCCGTGCCAAAGTAAACTTCCTCGGACTCTGATCGTCCCAACCCACTAGCCCAAAGGTCAAGTTGATACTCCATAGCCTCTTTCAGTTCACTGCCTTATGGGTGATTGTGGTTCTCACATTTGTTCCCAATGAGAATTCTTCTACTCTTTTCATGGCTTTTCTTGATACCCTTCTTCGCAATCTTGATTGGCAAAGACAGAGTATTGGTCTCTGGCCAATGTCTCAACGATCAGAGCTCATTGTTGCTCCAATTGAAGAACAACCTCAGATACAATTCAACAGTTTCTGTCAAGTTGGTAAATTGGACTCAAACAACTGATTGTTGCTGTTGGAAGGGCGTTACTTGCGACAAAGAGGGTCATGTTACTGGTCTCGACTTGAACAGCGAATCAATCTCAGGTGGAATCAACCACTTGAGTAGTCTTTTCAGTCTCCAATTTCTGCAAAACCTGAATTTGGCTTACAATAACTTCAAGTTCACACAAATTCCACCCAGTTTTGGAAACCTTACCAGACTGACACATCTGAATTTATCAAATGCAAATTTTGCTGGGCAAATTCCGATTGTATTGTCGCGCATGACAACGTTGGTTACTCTTGATCTATCTACCCTGTACTTCCCTGGAGCACCTTCACTGAAACTTGAGAACCCAAATTTATTAAAGCTCGTTCAAAACCTCACGGGGCTAAAAACACTCCTACTTGATGGGGTAAATATTTCGGCCCAGGCAAGCCAGTGGTGTGAGGCCATTTCGTCTTCACTACCTAATCTGCAAGTCTTGAGCTTGTCCAATTGCAATCTTTCAGGTCCTATTGATTCTTCTCTCCAGAAACTTCAGTTTCTTTCCGACATCCGACTTGGTCAAAACAATCTCTCTGCCCGAGTTCCGGAGTTCTTCGCAGATTTGCCGAATTTGAGATCCTTGCATCTCTGTTCTTCCAACTTGCATGGAAAATTTCCGGAAAAGATATTCCAAGTATTGACATTGGAGGCTCTGGACTTGTCGTACAATAGATTACTTCAAGGGTTCTTGCCACAGTTTCCTCCAAATGGATCCCTTCACACCCTGGTGCTTAGCAACACAAATTTTTCTGGGACATTACCAGATTCTGTTGGTAACCTGAAGATGCTGTCTAGAATGGAGCTTCCAGGCTGCAATTTCAGCGGACTAATTCCGAATACCACGGCAAACCTTACTCAACTTGTTTATTTGGACTTGTCATTCAACAGTTTTACTGGTACAATCCCATCCTTTCAAATGTCCAAGAATATCACATACATAGACCTATCTCATAATGCTCTAACAGGTCAGGTTCCTTCCACTCACTTTCAAGGCCTTTCAAATCTTCTAAATATTGATTTAGCGCACAATTCATTCAATGGGAGAATTCCTTTGTCTTTGTTTTCACTACCATTGCTACAAAAAATTCAGCTTTCCAATAACCAATTTGATGGTCCAGTTATTGGATTTTCTAACCAATCCTTGCCTTCATTGGATACACTGGATTTGAGTAGAAACAAATTACAAGGGTCAATTCCCTCATCTTTCTTTGAACTTCGAAGTCTAAATGTCCTCTCGCTTTCTTTCAACAACTTCAGTGGCACCATACAGTTAGAAATGATCCAGAGGCTCCAAAATCTCACAAGACTTGAGCTTTCATACAATAGATTGTCAATTAATGCAAGTGACAGTAAGTCTAGCTTGTCTTCCTTCCCCCAGCTCGGCATATTAAAAATGGCTTCTTGCAAGCTGCGAAGATTTCCTGAGCTACAGAACCAATCAAGAATGATTAATTTGGACCTCTCAGCCAACCAAATTTCAGGGACAATACCAAACTGGATTTGGAAAATTGGATCTCTGGTGCAGTTGAATCTCTCCCATAATCTCCTGGTAGATTTGGAAAAACCATATAAATTTCCTAGTCTTTCTGTCCTTGACCTGCAGTCTAACCAACTTCATGGGGAAATTCCAATACCACCAGAGTCTATTACCTATGTGGATTACTCGAGCAATAATTTCAACTCTTCTATACCTGCTAAAATTGGCAACATGCTCACCTATGCTTATTTCTTCTCTCTTTCAAGTAATAGCCTCACAGGAACCATCCCCAAATCAGTATGCAATGCAAGGTTACTCAATGTTCTTGATTTATCCAATAATAGTTTCAGTGGCACAATACCTCCATGCTTGATTGAAAGGAGTACTGAGACTCTTGGGGTGCTGAATTTGAGAAATAACAATCTTGGTGGTAAGATCTTGGGGACATTTCCGAAAAGTTGTGCTTTGGAGACACTAGACATCAGTAGGAATCATTTGGAAGGGCAGGTTCCCAAATCTCTTGCCAATTGCACAGTGTTAGAGGTTTTAAATGTTGGTAACAATGAGATAACTGATAGTTTCCCGTGCTTCTTGGGGAACTTAGCTAGCTTGCGTGTATTAGTTTTGCGATCCAACAAGTTCCACGGAGGCATTCGCATTTGTCGACTAGGCCATTATATGTGGCTAAAGCTTCAAATCATTGACCTAGCTTCGAATAACTTTAGAGGTGATCTACCAGATAAAGTCTTCACACATTGGACAGCAATGACTGTCGCTGATCATAATGCAAAATCAAATTTCAGTCACCTGAAGTTTGAGTTCCTAAAACTTAATGGCTTCTACTATCAAGATACTGTGACACTCAACAATAAAGGGATGGAGATGGAGCTAGTGAAAATTTTAACTATTTTTACCTCCATTGATATCTCGAACAACAATTTCCAAGGGGTGATACCAAATAGAGTTGGGGATCTCAAATCTCTGTATGTTCTTAACGCATCGCGCAATGCCCTCACGGGTCCAATTCCATCATCAATTGGGAACTTGGCACAGCTTGGATCATTAGACCTTTCACAGAACAGGCTAAGTGGGAGCATCCCAATGCAACTTGCAAGCCTTACATTTCTTTCATTCCTGAACCTGTCGTATAATCAATTAGTCGGAATGATCCCAACAGGCTCTCAAATTCAAACATTTTCAGACACTTCCTTTAAAGGAAACAAGGGATTATGTGGGTATCCTTTGAACATCAGTTGCAACAATGCCTCACCGGTACCATCACCAGCACCAAGCTCTAACAAGTCAGGTTCTTTTGTGGTGAAAAAGTTCAATTGGCAATTCATATTTACAGGGTTGGGGTTCGGGATAGGAGCAGGAGTCATTATTGGGCCTCTTATGTTCTGGAAGCAAGGGAGCAAATGGTGCAACAAACACATTGAGAGGTTCGCTCAGCTGATTCTTCCAAGTTTGGGTTTCATTTTTGCTTGGTGTGATTATGTGCAGGATGAGCCAAAGGGTAACATTGAAGAAGAAAACCAAGACGACAAAGAAGAGTCTGATGAAGATGAAGATGAAAACGCGAGAGAAGATAAGGCATTTTCCGGGCTATATTGTGTGTTTTGTTCCAAACTTGATATCCATGTGAAGAAAGGCATACACAACCCGAAATGCAATTGTCATCATGACTCACCATCCATTTCTTCCTTGTCACTCTCTCCTCCTTCATAGTTACAATTATCAAATTTTTGGATTGTGGTTTTTTTTTTTTCTCTTCTTTTCCCTGTACATTTTATTTGTCGCTGTTAATGTACACTAAACCTAACCCACTAACCTAACCCACTACATCCACTCCACTAAACCTAACACACTTACCATCTCCACTACCACCCACCACCTCCACTACCATCCACTCACCTACCTCACACCTCTCCTATATAATAGCTTGTAATATACAAAATCAATATACAACAATCTTGTAATACATCAATCAATAATAATATAGATACATTATCCTCTGTATTTCTCTCTTTACACATTAGATTTAAACATGGTATCAGAGCTAGGTTAACAACCTAGTAATTCTGCTTCACCGGCGGGCGGCAGTCTCGCCTTGGCCGCCCGCTGGACCTCTACACATACCCATTTCAACAAGTCAAAGAAGAAGGTCGACAACGGCTGACAGGAGACCGGAGCCGTTTCAAGGGAACCAAACACTCCTCCTCATCTTCACTTTCTCTCCCCCCAACCAAACCCATCAGAGACCGAAAGACTAAGCTCACAAGGCCCTTACCATCCATCCTCGCCACTTATCAACTTTTCTCTCTCTCTCTTCCCACAGGTGCCACCCTCTTCGCCATCGTCTCACGCACCCTCGTTGCAAGCAACAGGACAACCCCCACGCCGCCTCTCCTCCCCATCACGGCCGACAACAGCCGCCAGCGCTACAAACCATAACCTCAGCCTCTATCAGATCGGCACGTGTCACTTCCCAACCACCACGCCGCCACTCGCGGCAGCCACCGCCGTCGACCTCGGCCCCGACGCCGCCTTGTAACGCGCCCCTATGCCCCGACCAGCCACCACGCTGTTCACCCCGTCGTCCGTGTCTCTACTCGCGACGGTCACTGGACTTGGACCTCGAACAATGCCCGATGGATCCTTCTTCTCCATACTCTTGATCTGAACTACAAACACACAGATACAACACATGCATCATTCCATGCATACACACAACAGCCGTTGACCTGGCAACCTGATAGAACAACCACAGCATCTTCTCTGGCTCTCGCCCAATCACGACCTCTCTCTCTCTAAAAAGAGGAGACCCAAACACCACTCAAGAAAATCAACTTCTCTCTGTGGACCTCTCGGCATCAACCTCTCTCTCTATCTCTCACAGAGCTTCATACACACACACACCCATTTTTCTTTTATTTATTTAATCACACCCACCCACATGGGTTGGTTCCACTTTTCATCATCAATATATTCTCACTCACTTCCACTTTCTTTTCTTTTTTTTATATCACCCACTCCCTCTTTTTCTTCTGACCCACGAGACTAACCACCCATCAACTCTCTTTTTAAAATACATGATTCATCCTCCACCCACCACACCACATTATCCTCATCATTCTCTCCATACTAATATATATATATATATATATATTTTTTGGTCTCCTCGCGCTTCCTTCAACTTCGTGGCTTGGCAAGTATGCACTGATCCTCTGTTTCCTAAACTTTCTCTCTTTTGCCTCTAATTGCTGCTCGGTCGAGGTCCCACCCCTCGGCTGCGCGTCCAACCCTGCCTCAAACAATGAGGGACGGTTGAACAAGCTCGTCCCATTTGGCCTTCTCTCTCTCCCTCCACTCCTTCACCCTCTTCACCCCTCTCTTCCGCCGCTGCCCTCAGTCTTGGCTCCATCGACCTAACGGGCACCTTCCAGATGGTGCGCACTCCCAGTCCCCCATTGCAAGGACACGTAGAACACCGTGGGCTGCCCACCCCTTGACGATGTCGGCAGCCCGCACCAACCCCCCCTCCCCATCACTGCCTGTAGGGTGACCCACGTCTCTTTGCTGACCCCGAAGCCTTATAACAGGGAAAAGAACTCATCTACGCCATGGCTTCCCCTCCATTTCGCCTTGGGTCCACGCGCTAGCACAGGCCAGCAGAATCTTCCATGCATTGGGCATCAATTGCCCCGGTGCTACCTCCAGATGGTTCAGTACGTCACCACCACTTGGGCAGTGGCAACCTCAGCCCACCTTTTAGCGCCTCATCGTAAAGGGAAAACTCCCTGGCCTGGCATCAGACGCCTTTCCCTGATGTTGGGCAGCAAATAACTCCACCTCAGCTGGAATCTGGTATTTTTCCCTGATAGCCTCCAAATCCGCTGCAGTAATTTGGATTTGTCAGCCTTGTGTGCCAGTGATCCGGCGTCTACTGGCTTATTAGCCTTGAGCCCATATCGGGGCCGATGCTTGCGATTGTTCCACCGGTTTCCCCCACCCCACCATTCGTGTCTCCGTCTATATCGCGCTGCTAGCTCCTCTGCATCATCGTCTCCCAGGGGGTTCCCACCCTCACATTCCCCACTTCTTCTTGTGCCATTTCTAGGGTTTGCTTACGAATCACTTTTGATGCAGGAGCAAGGAAGTTGAGAAAATGTTGCAAAGGTGTGTCGTGGCGCAATGAAGGAATTCAACACTTGGTATTTTGAGTTTTTGTAAAAAGGTAGGTGAAACAGAATTATACCAAAAACCCACGGTTTACCCTTATTCCATGGATTCAAAATTAATTTTTCGCCCGTTTAAAAACTTTCAAATCAACGCCAAAACCGCCTTTTCAAACCCCCTCTCGTGACCTATCGTTTCATTTCTGCTCCAAACACTTCACTTCCCCCACGATATTGCCACGTGTATGCCACGATGCACTGCCCCTCCCTTACCCTGTTCTTCCATTCACATCATCACAAGGGCACACCTCCTTTTTTTTTGAGCCCCGCGCCGTCCTGGTCTGCACGCCCACGCTCGGCCCCCCTCCCACCGCTCGGCCACCCTTGCGGTCGGCCACGCCTCACGGTCGACCCCTCCCGCTCGGCCCCCTCACGGCATCTCCTTCCGCTCGGCCACCTTTGCGGTCGGCGCGCTTCACGGTGGACCCCTCCCGCTCGGCCACCCTCACGGTCATCTCCCTCCGCTCGGCCACCCTTGCGGTCGGCACGCCTCACGGTCGACCCCTCCCGCTCGGCCACCCTCACGGTTAGCTACCCCCGCTCGGCCACCCTTTGCGGTCGGCACGCCTCACAGTCGACCCCTCCGGCTCGCCACCCTTGCGGTCGGCACGTTCTAACGGTCGGCCTCTCTGCTCGGTTCGCACTTTTCTTCCTTATTACTATTCCTTCGTTGGACTAAAGTTGCACTTGGAAATGAGGGACTACTTACAGGATAGGCCCATAAGGCTTACAGCCTACAGCAAACAACCCCAAACCCATCGCTTGGGACCCATAGCATAACCCGGCTGGCAAAGCCCAGGACAGCTGGAGGCCATCTGGGCATGGAAGGCCAATGACATTCGGGCACATGTTAGGTGAAAACACGCCACATCAGCAGACAAAGATCTGCAGAGTTATTGCCACAACACATCACAATTAATGCAGCCCATCACAGCAATTATTACGACAACAACTCCCCGTCGGAACAGAGCCCCCTCACCCTGAACAAGGTGAGCTACGCACAGGCTTTCGGCGGAGGGGGGCACGTCGCAAGGGACAGTGAAATGATTACAAAGGATATAAGCAAGAATCGAAGACAAGAGGAAAGTTAAGCTTCTATCTCTCTCTCTCTCTCTATATATATATATTTCCTTCTTCCTCTACTGATTTGCTCGCCGAGGGTTCACTAGGGGACTACCCCGTTCCCCTTGGACTTTGCTGGCAGGTCATCTGGTGGAATCATCCGTCTAGATCGGAACTTGAAGCGCTTAGACCAGCCCGACCCACCACTCAGGACGAACTGCATCATCAAGATAAAAATATTTTTTTATATAAAAAGACTATTGTATATCAAAAAGAGATCCTATTCAAATGACAGATTTAGGCCTAGTTGGGAAGACTAAATAAGTGCACTTTTGACTTTTTATGAAATATGGGTTGGGTTTGGATTGGGTTTTGAAGTGATGTGTTAGAGGTGATGTGACTTAAATAAGATGATGTGACTTAAATAGGATAGTGACTTTTTGACTTTTTATCTTTTTTCAATCATACTAAACTTAGCCAAAGGTGAGGTTCGAATTATTGTGCTAAATTCAAAATTGATTGACTTCTATCAATCAACTTTCAAACTCACGTGAATCCAAACATATCATACAATATAAAAAATATCATCATATCTAAAATTTTTTACATTCAAATTATATTAAATAATAGTTTCTTGTATTGTCTTATTTTAAAAGCAATTAGGTAAAATTAAACTTACAATGATTATGACGGAGTTAGATCATATATTATTGAATAGGCAATAAATTAAAAATTAAACATATTAAATCACACTCATTGTGACTATAATTATAAAAAAAATTTGGAGTCTCAAACATTTTTATATTTCCATTCATTTTTGTAACTACTTGTGTATATATTCATTTACAAGAATCAAATTAATCCATAGTCACATAATTACAAAAAAAACTAGACTACCTTTTTTTTTTTCAATTTTTTTTCAATTTTGACAAATTTGATAAAATTGTATTTTTATACAAACAGCTTAATAACTTGTTCTAATTTAGGAATTTATGTTAAGTTATTTGATATAATTTCTGCTTATAACTTATTAAGTAAAAATAATTTAAATAAACTATTTTTTTTTTTAAAAAGCTCAAATAAAATCTTTTAACTTTTACATTTTAATTATCAAATTTTAATTTAAAATAATGTTCACCAAACACTCTATTCTAATTTTGAATCAACATGACATTTTGTAAATGATGTGTTATAAATTGAATAAAATACATCACCAAAATCAAACCTGTGTAACCCCAACGGCCCAAAGTAATTTAAAAATTCATTACATAATTTGTATGCATTTTCATTTTATTTTGGATTCTCCTCCGGAAGGAACGAACATGTCCGTGACAATTGTCTTCCAGGATATGCTTTTTGCGTGCGGTCTGAAAATTTCTTTTTCCAACGGATCGAATTGTCGTTAGTCTCATTATCCACTTCGTTGTGCCTCACACAAGGTACTTGAATTCTCAACTCTCACGCTAAATCTCTTAACATGTATTGATGCTATTATATTAA